AATAAATCAAGATATGTTCTAATGTTTTGCTGGTTCTATGCGTTTTGTCTTGTTTGTTTACTCAATTTTTGTGATGTTTTATTTTACCCATTGTCAATTGCAAATTTCTAGCAAATAATAGATATAGAGAAGCTACTGATAAAGAAGACAGAAGCTTAACTAACTCAAGTACAAATAAAGGAGTTAGATATAGAATTAATTGAGCAACAAAACTTAAACTAGTTAACAGAAAACTTATTTTTAGAACAATTACAAAGAAAAGAAAAAGAGCTAATAACAATATACTAATATACACCAACAGGTCTTTAAGCTTAAAGAATGGTAAAGCACAAATAGGTGCTAGTTAGGTACAAGTTGATAAGGATTAGAGTTGTAACTCGAAACCCATTTGATTGAATCTAAAGGTTTAGGGTTTTGGCTATAGATTGTGAAACCCTAAACTAGTGTGAAATCTCAAAATGATACCAAAATTCCAAAATGATGCTGAAATCCCAAAATGATGCTGAAATCCCAAAATGATATCAAAATTCCAAAATGATGCTGAAATCCCAAAATGATGCCGAAATCCCAAACCAGTGCCAAAATTTCAAACTAGTGCTGAAATTCTAAAATGATGCTAAAATCCCAAAATGATGCCAAAATCTTAAAACGATGCCAAAATTCCAAAATGATGTCGAAATCCCAAAATGATGCTGAAATTCCAAAACAATGTCGAAATCCCAAAACGATGCCAAAATTTCAAAATAATACCGAAATCCCAAAACGATGCCAAAATCTCAAAACGATGCTGAAATCTCAAAACAATGCTGAAATTCCAAAATGATGCCAAAATCTTAAAACAATGCTGAAATCCTAAAATGATGCCAAAATCCCAAAATGATGCCGAAATCCCAAAACGATGCCAAAATTTCAAAATGATGCCAAAATCCCAAAATGATGCTGAAATCCCAAAATGATGCCAAAATCCTAAACCAGTGCCAAAATTCCAAACCAGTGCTAAAATTTCAAACCAGTGCCAAAATTCTAAACTAGTACCAAAATTCCAAACCAGTGCCAAAATTCCAAACAATTGCTAAAATCCCAAATCAGTGTCAAAATCTGCCAAAACTTTAAACCAGCATGATTTTTCTGAAACCTAAACTAAAGTCAAAATTTCAAACCATTGCTGAAATCCTAAGCTTGCTAAAAGCCTGGTTAACTAAGTCATATATTATACTTTAAATTAGTACTTGTAGTCGATAAAATCAGCTTAGCTGATTTAGTTAGCTGATTTTTCAAAAATTTGACTTATGATAGGGTTATATGGATATCTGAAAATTTACGAAAAGAAAATCAACAAATATAAAATTAATTTTATGTTATAGAAGCGACTGTTGATATTATATAACTGATCCTTCACCTGGTATGCAACATATAAAAAAACTATTTTACAATACCAGATCATTCTGACAATACATGTGATAATTATAATTTTTATTATTAAAATGGTGAGAGATTATAATTATAACATGTACTGTCAGAATGATCTGGTATTGTAAATAGGTTTTATATATTACATACCAGATGAAGGATTAGTCATGTAACATTAACATCAATGGTCATTCCTGTATAACATAAATTAATTTATAAAATATGAGCAGAAAAATATCTGATTAGAATTTAAAATAATTAACTTTAACTTAGCTGCACAATCTGGATAAGTTATTTTTTTTTTTGTATCTTCTTTTTATTCATTTTTTTAATATTAATATATAATGCTAATATTTATATTTGATCTTTTTTTAGGTAATATATTTCTTGGTTTCATCCATTTTGGCATTCTTTTATTTTCTAGAGTTTTCTTTGTCATTGGTATCATCTAGTTTTGAGTCTTTTTTGCTGTTGGTGCATTACCTGGAGCTTTTTTGTTGGTAGTGTTGTCTATTTCAGTATTCTTTTGTTGCTGGTATATTACTGTCATTGGTGTAATTCAGTTTGAAATCTCTTTTGTTGCTGGTACATTACTTGGACAATGAGTTTCTCAATTATACCACGAAGTATTAATTTCTATTTTTTT